GACGAAGCAGCCGAAATGTACCAGAGCGTCTGCGGTACTCCCTGCCTCTTCCTCGTCATTTTAATTATATGGTTTTCGTTCCTTTTTGAGTGTTAAAAGCTCGTTCAGGGACACCAATTCCGCACAGTTGATAAGTCATCTCCTAGCACATCTGAAGATCTCATCAACACTCGGAAACGCCCGTCAACTACTAGAGTGCAGCGTAAGTAACGGCTTGCATCGCGCTGGCCTCTTGTCACATTATTGTTTTTTTTTGTTTTGATATTCACCAGCTGAGGCTCAGTTGGAGTTTCTCTTTTCAGCTTCGTTGATATCTCTTTGTGATTCACAAGCCGAGACGTCTGGATTGAAACGCATACCATGTGCTTCTTTCGATCCAAGCCGACGTTCTGATAAATTGGGTAGGTTTCTATATTCTCGATGTTCTATATGAGACTTTCTTTTTCAAAAATCGTTGTGTTCTTTTTTCGTTGTTGTTCTGTTCCAGACTCAAGAATTAGGGTGGAGTGGAGGTTTGTGTAGTGGTATGAACATCCTTTTTTCGTACTCCTTCCTGTATATTCCTCACTCCTTTAATCACGTATTGCTTTAATCGTTCACCGCTATATTTGATTGAAAACCTCTGCATCCCTACCCTATCACCTTTGGAGATCCCGGACACCATCGAATCATTCATTGAACTTTCTGGTCCATGCTGATGGTACCTCCTTTCATATAATGTGGGCGGGTAGCCTTTGACTGGTGTATAGCAGGGCATCGCAAGGCCGTGTTGTTGTGAAGGTTTCTGACTTACTCCTACCTGTGCACTGACTCGGGCGTAATTTTCTATGGTTTCAATTAATTCTAGGGATACAAGGCTTCCTTAAGTCTGTTACCTCTCCTGCAGAGCGGCAAAGCAATGGAAAGAGATGTGGTTTCGGAGAGCACCCGTAAGAAGGTATCAATAGTAACATCGTGGATTGCGAATAACAGTGCTACATTTGCCTAATTTTTTGTTTCAAGGTGAAAGTGGAAGTAATTGACATAGAAGATGATGACGACGTAAATCACGATACAACAACAACGTCATTCAGTCCAGCTCAGCCCTGCAGACCTTTTCAAAACGAGCCAGAAGCATCGTCGCTCCAAGTTAGATTGTGTTGTTTCTTTCTCCAGGCGAATACTTAGTGTTTTGAACTTCTTCGTGAACAGAGTTTTCAGTGTGATCCTCAAAACGCTTTATTGATGAAATTCCAAAAGCTCAATATCGTGAGGATAGCCGATGCTTCAAAGCAGATGCGTTTCGCCGTAGGATCGTGTCGCAAAACAGTACAGGTAGTATATTTTTCCGTTTTTGTGTTCTTTGTTCGCTTCTGAATTTTGACCATATTTGGTGAACCCTTATTGAATGTGATTCTAGTTTTTCATAAGAATTCTTGTTCACACTGTGGTTCTAGGCCATCATTTCGGATATTATCGATTCACTTAGAATAGTAGATGGAATGTGGACTATGAAGGTCAGTTTGTTTTATTGGTGCTGTTGGGAGTGTAGTTACCTTTGCACTGTCATAAGATTGTAGACGTTCATTGACTTATCTGCTTCGGTGAGAGTGGTCACCATCTTCACTATTTTTCTTGAAGGTCAGCATACAAGACGAGTCGGTCGATGGATTTCGTGTGTCTGGTAGATAGTCCCACACTGTCTTCTCTTATCGGTTTGACGCCATCTGAAGCAATGGTCAGTCTCCAATAGCAGACTGATTGATTCCGCATTTGTTTTGCCAATGTTTCGCTCTTTCCCATGGCTGTTCAGGAGGTACGCGCATCCAGTGACATAGAGCGGCGCAAGGATGGTCAGCGTCGTTTGGGTGCGGTTGAAGAACAGTTGAAGCGGCTCGATCTGCTCCTGGAATTGGAACTGTTCAGTGGTGGTCGCGCAGATCCCGTAATCCGCAGCATTCGAACTTTGATGCAAGCACTTGATGTTTTATAGCAATAAGCATAACAATCATAAATATGTGACTATTAGTCGTTCCGACACGCTTGTGTGATTCTGTGATCTCGTATGTTGTACACTTACTTTTTAATTGCTTCATAAGAATTGTTTTGTTGAGCCATAAATATTATATGTACATTCTGAAGTTTTATCCCAGTATTGGATTTTCGTGGTTACGTATAGCTTTAGACTTTTTTCCTAAGCAAAATTCAATAAGTAGGGCCAAGCAATTTCTGGCGAATACAACATGGTCCTTACATCTACTTGGAGGGGGGGGGATCAGCTGATACCCAAATCATCTTTATTCTTTTCAAAACGGATTTTGTTCAGTTAGGCAGGTCCGGAATGATGAGAGAGATTGGTTAGTGGGCCAGATCCTGTAGTGGACATGTTCGACGGTTTTGTTCTCCATGGGTTCATAAAATTTTGGCTCCACACCATTGAAAGCAGAGCCATTGAGAAGTCATAATTAGTCATAAATAAAACTGTTCCTCAGTCAGCAGGGAACTGAAAGACAAAAACTGGGGATGCGCATTCTACGAATCGAAATGAGAGTATAAAGTGTGAATTCGTATCAGAGATAGGGCGGAGTGAGCAACACAGGGAGAAGATTTATGGAATTGGGATAATTTTTAGATCTGGTTTCCTCCTAACTTGTCCTTCATCTGCCGTTCATATTTTGTCGCTTCGTGCACAATCCGCACTTTTGTGAATGGTTCCCGTTCCAGTGCATGATACAAATTCGGGAGTGATTCGTGAAGCGTGCACTATCGGAGATTGTCCTCGATCCTCACTGAGGCTTAGTGTCACGTTCGTTTCCGTCACAAAAGTGCCGACCTATTTCCTTCCCTTCAAATACTCACTGCAACCGCTGCAGATCAGTTCTGCCTCCATGATTCTGCTGCTCTTCATTCTTGCGAGCGCCCAGGCGGTTAGTTATATTTCAGAGAAAACATTTCCTACAAATACTATGTACCGTTTAGTTGCCGTACTATTCTCCTTATCCACAAGTGAGTTCTGACTCAGTGGATGCCACCAAAACTGTGGGAGCGTCTCTTTCTGTCATAGAGCCCAAAAACGGTTAGTGATATTTCACTGATAATTTCAACGCTGAATGGCTAAACAAGGTTGGAGAGGTAGTTGACCTTCCGGTTTCGGCTCTGCACTATCTGGTGCTCCTTGACATGTTATATACTTTCAAACATTTCAGTTTCCTTCATTTCATAAGTGCTCAACTTCACTCTGGCTGACTATTATATCGTATTTTCAAGGGATTCTTTTTCTGTTCGTCTAATTCCTCTCTCCCACATTTCTTAATCATTTTTTTATCGCGTCTGCATTAGCGTTAGAACTTCTTTTTGAGCCTGCTCCATTTCGAGCCGTGCACTATTTATCATCAATACATGCACCATCACTATCAGGTTTGTTGCCAAGCGACCAACCGAAGAGTGGACGGCTCAATGCCCAGAAGGCTGGCAGTGACGTCGATTTTGGTGCCTATCAGAATCGTATTTTTTGTCCGCAAGATGACTGCTGAGAAGGAAGAGCTGATACCAGAGTGGAATACTTTTTTGAGTTTTAAGGAAAGTCTTTGGAGTTTAGCCGTGAGCCCCCGCTTTTGGCCACCTTATGGTTAGACTTAATTGACTTCATAAGGTAACGTGGGAGATGTTGCTAGTGGTTAACTCGAAAACGCTTCAAAAAAGGAGGAGCATGTGATGCATTTGTTCATCTTTTACCCTCTTCTGCTCGATCCAGCCACTGGGACGTTTGGTGTAGTTGTCATTGAAGTCTACTTTTCAGGCGCAGTAGTGGCAGTCTTCAACCAGTGCGTACGGATGCAATAAAAACAAATTATGAACGGAAATATGTATTTTTTCTGTCATAAGTAATCAATCCATGAGGAGGTTTTGGCGAAGCTCAACCTTTTTACGAAGGAGCGAGAACTTCTATGACTGTGCAATGAGACACCAGAGTATGGGGGCCACATAGCAGGTTATCCCGTATGGACTGACTCAAACAAGGGAGTGTAGCCTGTCCAAATCCGACAGTAATGGCCTTCCTGAGCGAGGGTTTTTCTCCTAGCTGTAGTCTCCTGGGCAAAGAAGATCCATCCATAATGATATTTCTTGGCTGGCAAGTGACAAGAAGATATCAAAATGAATATCAACGATTCATATTAGCAGTGGTGTACAATCTCCTTCTGGTATGCATTTTGCGTTTCCTGCAAGAGATCGCAGTGGAATTGAGAAGCGTTGGAATGAGCATTTCACCTAAACAGTGGTAAACGGGGCCAAAACAGTAATTGGAGACTCAGTTTACCACTAACCACTCAGTCTGTAGATCGGTCAGTCCTGTCAGAGCAGCAGTCACACAGGGTCGCTGAGCTGCCACTAAGCAGCAGGAAGCAACAACAACCTTGTAGAAGCGCTTACCTACGCATTGGCCGGCTCTCGCTAGTCACAATCCAATGGCAAGCCCACACCCGCACTCAAATTCAGCCATGATTCTGAATCTAACACGCGGCTACGCCGTAGCGATGGCCTGCACCTGGCACTGTATTCTTTTCGAAGACCAGTAAATAGAAGGATAGAGCAACCAATATTAAGGGCAATCTCTGCGACATTAATGATTCATAGGCATTTTACTATGGAAGAGCCCGTTCATTCAGGAGCTGGGCCCATGATGCCGGCGCCCCCTGTTCCATCGATGCCACAACCCATACGAGTAGATATC